ATTTGTGTCGATGGGTATTGTTTGAATAGTATAGCAGGCTGTGTAGTGCTGATTGTAGTAATGCACAAGCGAGCAGCCATCACTTGAAGATGATGTGGTGCTTACCTGTTAACTTGCACTCCACTTTGAAAGAGTTCCAGTGTGAATAGTATAGCAGGCTGTGTAATGCTGATGTAGGCATCCCCAACTTGTTTCTTGATGCTGACGTGGCAGATTCATTAGAGCTGCTGTGTTGGCATGCCAGGGGTGCCACGTGGCATACCACGCTGCTGTGGGTGAGGTTTACTGTGCATTGTGAGCTGGCAGAGTTGCTTGCCGGCCCTTGTACTCGATTGCATTAGTTCTGCAGATGTGATAGCTGTAGAGAGAGAGGAAGGCTAACCCTTGTCTGTTGATGTCATGTTGGCTAACCTGCTGGCTGTTCTGTGGTTCTGTGCATACTCACCTGTGTGATGTGTCTTGATCACACTGGCCGTGGCTGCGGTACCTGTGCACTTGCTGTAGGACGTCATCACACCTAGATTAGATAAGAGTGAGATTAGAAGAAAACTGTTGTTCTTCTGAAATTGGTTATTATTTATTTCTTGCTGTAGTAAATTGGAACAGGTATGGACGTGGAATTGATTACTGATTTATTTTTATTTATTGTGCGGTATATACACCTTTGAAAATGTCTTACCTTTGGAACTCTCTGCATTTTTCCATCTTGACTCGATTCATTCCTCATCTCTTCTTACCTGTCTCTGTCACCCTCTTCGCTGATGAAGAAGGTGAACTCCGAACCCGTAATCAGATTGAAGACCGACGGCAGATGATGCTAAGTCGTCTTCAACAGCTCCTAAATGAGTTGCATGGTGCTGGAGCCATGGCTGAACAGCACGTACGCATCCAGTTCGATCTGCGTGCTGCAGAAACCGAACTTAAAAGGGTTGTTACGGCTGTTCAGATGATGGAGGCCAGCACAAGGGTGCAATGGACTATTGATCAAGGCCGAATGACCCTTGATCAATATGTCGCCGAGGAGTTGGCGAAGATCGCTGCAGGCGAGCCGAAAGAAGATCGGGAAATGAAAGAAGAAAGAAAGGAAGAAGAAAGAAGGGCAGAACTAAACGAGGACATAATGTTGGCAAACATTAGACAACTGGAAGAAGCACTGAACGCGGAAAGAAAAAAAATGGATGAGGACCGAAGGATAAAAATTGAGAGAGAACAGCGAGAAAGAAAGGTGGAAGAAATTAGGCAACAATTTCACATTGGAAAAACAGAAACTGATTTTGCATCTGTCCTTGATAACTTGATGGCCTATCTGGCACATCTAGAAGTAAAGATTGATCAAAACACCGCTGCACTAGAAGCAGTGACGAGGTTAGTAAAAGGAAAATGAAAGATGACAGTTGGGGAGGAGACGAAGGGGGAAGAAAGGAAACCACCCCAAGAAAAGTTGATGAAAGATGCAATAAAGAGGACAACGCCGGAAAAGTCCGAAGGCTCCAAGAGGGAACCAGAGGAACCGGCAGGGAAGAAGGAAGAACCCACCAAAAAGGAAGAGCCCGTAAAAGAAGCGGAAAAAACAAAGAAGAAAGAAAAGGTGAAAATGAAGTTACCATTCACCTACAACAACAAGAAGAAAGAAAACTTGTTGCTGTGGATTGCCGAAATTCAAACTTACGTCGGAACAGCACCCGTTGAACCCGAGAGTCTGGTTGCTTTCTCCACGTCGTGCTTGGGAGGAGTGGCTAAGGAGTGGGTGTTGGCCGAAGCCAAAGCTGCTGGCTTCGAGGACATCGGTGAGTGGGCCAAGACTCTTACTCTCAGGCAATTCCTCCAAAAGATTAAGGAGAGATTCCTAGAAAAGACGACGGCCGATAAGGCCTTCGATGAACTCACCACCATTGGTCAGAAACGTTGGACTTTGGTTGAAGCTTTGCCGCGTGAAGTTGATCGTCTATTGCAGGTACCTGGACTGAACCTACAGGACAAGCAGGTTTTGTATATTTACTCACGTGCACTGCCCGAGCCCATTCGTGGACAGCTTGTGGCAGAATCAAAATCAGGTAAGTATGTTTATCGGCAGTTTCACGATCTCGCTCTCCAATGGGAGCAGATTGCCACCCAAGTCAAAGGTTCGTATGCTTCGGTAGTAAAGTCGGGACCGGTTGGTGGGTACGGCAAGCGGGTCCTTTGGTGACAAAAGCGCCAGAACCATATGCTTGTGTTATTTAACGATGAAACTGTAGAGAAGTTACCTCTAGAAGAGTCTGAGGGAGGAGGAGGTAACGGCAGCAGTGAGTCCAGGAAGGGTGACGTCACTGTTGTAATGGCCAACAAAGGAGGCCAAAACCAATGGAAGAAGAAGAAGAGACAACGCTCGTTTCCCGAGCATCCTGGCATTGCGTTCGGGAGGCCTTGGGAGAAAATGAATATGACCTGAGAGGAATGACAGTCCAAGATGGACAATCGCCAGTGCCTAAAGTGAGGAACCATGGGGCACATGATAGCCTGGTGCTCGCTTATTCGTAACCCAAAAGCGAGCAGCCAGTAGGAGTAGCATCTGCTCCTACTGAGTCGAAGGGTATAGATCAAGATAGAGGTAAGGCGCCTATAACCCCTTCTACCCCTTCGACTCTTAAGGCAGAGGATGACTCTTCTTCCGCCCGTCGTGCAGACCACCCTGACATAGTCCTTTGTTCTGTCTCACTGAACGATTCCCTTGACGAGCTCGACAATGAACTAATAGCATTAAGGAGTTCGTGGGCGAAGAAAGCAAAGTCCAAGGGTGAGTTAATGATCGCGGATGTTGAGATTGCGCACACACGAGTAGGTGCCCTGTTAGATCTGGGATCGACGCGGTCTTATATCTCAGAGAAAGCAATTCGAAAGTTGCAGCTGGGAATGAAGGTAACGGATTTACCTAGACCTATCACGTCTATACTGGCTGACAAGAACACGATCACTGACTCTCAATACGTCGATCCTGTTAAGTGTTACTTCAGGACCAAGGAAGGTAAGAAGATTTTACACGAGGTATCCTTCCTTATAGAGAAAAATTTACCCTTTGACTTAATTTTGGGTATGGATTGGCATGAGGAAGCCGTCCAGAAGTTAAGTTCTAAGATAAAATTGTCAAACTCAAGGACGAGAAGTCCGAACTACGTGCGATAAAGTTATATCATAGGTGCGGCTCTGACTCTACTCTGTCTTTCTGTTGTATGAGTTACCCAACTGTTTGCTCGATGGTAGTAAAGAAGAAGTTGGATCAAGAGGTGATGATGGTGCTTGTCAAACAAGTAGGTGAGCGTTCTTCATCCTATTCACCTTCTA